GACTGTTTTCGTGTCTTTCTCCAGACCTTTGCAAGAGTTTTTAACTTTCATCCGAATGTGTTCAGAAAGTCAAGGTTATCGTTTTCATTATTATCACTGCAGCATCTGATAGAGCCAGTTACACAGCCACATCCTTAGAACCTTAGAAGTGAATGATATCGTCTGCGTATTGCCCTTTTGTTCCCATTTGGATCAGTTTCTAGAAGACACAGTCAATTTGTTAATATTCCCTGTTATTACTGACGGTCAGATATTGCACATCGGGCTAACAGATCACCAACAAGTTAAAGACAAAATATATTTTACCAAAAGCTGAGAAATGCTGAGGTTTGCACAGGATACTATCCAGACTTACAGAAAAAGACAATATTAAAAATGGGATTTAACTCATGTTTGTAATCATAAAAAAATGTTACCTGATGTATATAGCAACCATTTGTTATACAGAAAACCTCTTTAGTCTACACCACTACCAACAGGCTGACCAATGGAGCTTGAGGTTTTGCTTTCAAGCCAAGATTAATCATTACACCCTTAACATAAACCATTTAGTGTTTGGTCAGTCTTGAAACGGAGACGACTGATGAGACTTGCATCAATCAAAGCAAAAACAGCAATAAAACAAATAAAGCCGAAGGGGGAAAAAAGAAGCAAATATGGTTTCTTTGTGAATAACTGTAAGCTGAGACGGTGCTTCCACATTACTAACCTTACCGCGCTGTCCCTTGGGAGGTCTATGTTGGATATGAGTGGGATTCTTCCTGTGTGTCCTGGTTCATTAAGCTGCAATTTCTCTCTCTTTGTTAGAAAGAAAAATGCAAGAAGCAGGACTGCAACAAAAAGCAGGCGTGTTCAAAATCAGAGGTCACAGAGTTCTTTTATGTGTGGTAGGCATTACAAGAATGAGCATAGCAGCATTATACACTACACTGTTGTATGCAATAGTGTTCACTTCCTAATATGCAATGAGCAAACTACAAGAGAACCCCTATCTAACCCTTACAACTCAATCACAATGGGAGACTCACAGAGCATCAGGAGCAGGACCACAGGGCACAGCATTGTCATAATTCCCAGTAGTCCAAAGGACACAGAGCTGCAGGAAAAGGTGTATCAGTCATTTTCCAAGAGTCCAGACAAAGGAAACAACCATACCCATCTTACCCTGCATCCACTTTTTCAACATTGACATTCACAGGGATGGACTGCCACGTGG